CCGGCCGGGAGGCCATCCCGGCCCCCGAGGGGATCCTCGGGGCAGCGCGTGCCGGCTCCAGCCCCCAGCCTCCGCCTCCACGGCCACACGCCCCGCCCGGCCGCCTTCCCCCGCCGCCCGGCCCGGCCCGCCCGCAGATGCGCTGGCGGCCGCGTGGGGGCAGCAGCAGCTCGACCTTCCTAGGCTCCTCCGGACAAACCTCCAAGCCCTTTAAAAACTCCCTTGCGCGGGTTCGAGACCCGCCTGGGCAGCGAGACCTCATCTCTACAATAAATCAAAAAATCAGCCGGGCGTGGTAGCGCGCGCCTGTAATTCCGGCTCCTTGGAAGGCTGAGGCGGAAGGATCGCCGGAGCCCAGCAGCTCGAGGCTGCGGTGGCCAGGAGCGGCCACTGCACTCCCGTCTGGGCGACCGAGTGAGACTCCAACTCAAAAAAAAAACAAACACAACTCCCTCGTGGCTACAAAGGAAACGACAAAGGACAGGGATGAGTCAAGCTTCGCAAGGCCCGCTCCAGACCAGCGTCCTGCGCTGGCGGGGACCTGGCCTCTACTGCCCATGAGAGGACCTCCCCGCCTGCGTCTTGCAGGCCACTGGCTGGGGCTGCTGGCGACGTGTCCTGCCCGCCTTCCCGACCCGTCTCTCGCCCGGGCACCACCATCACCCTACACCCGGCAAGTTCGCTAGAGCCCCGGGAGACCACGCGGCAGAAGGCCGAGCAGCCCGGGCTGTGGCGGGCACCGGGCGCCCTTGGCCGGAAGCCCCTCGCCTCAAGGGTGGGGAATCCAGAAGGGCGGAAGCCGGGGAGGGGCAGCTGCGAGTCTTCGCCTGCACCTCTGACTGTGGGGCTTGTGTGGAAAACACCCTGCAGGCTCTGGAGAGCTGCTGGTCTCAGGTGCCCTTCCGATCAGGATTCCCACCTACCAAGCGGCAGGGATGGGCAAGGGGCCTTTTTCTTTTCTTTGCATTTAAAATCCGTATCCGTATCAACAGTAGAGTGTAGCCTGCGCAACACAGCGTGAGCCTGTCTCTACAAAAGTAAAAATAAGAAATCAGCTGGATGTGGTGGCACATACCTGTAGCCCCAACTTGGAAGGTCCAGGCAGGAGGATCCCTTGAGCTCAGGAGTTGGAAGCAGCAGTGAGCTATGATCACATCACTGCACTCCACTGGGCAACAGAGCCAGACACTACTGCCCCTCACCCCAGACCCCAGGCCACAACAGCCCCTCTGCTGGCACCCAGGCTGCTCCCTCCAAAGCTGGAGTTGACCCCAGCCTAGCCCCCTACTGAAGATGCTGCCAGGTGTGTGGCCTTGCAGAAATGCGGACCTGAGACCTCGTGTGGCCAAGTCAAGCCGAAGGCGCCTTGAACAAGGGCTTAGGGAGAAGGGTCCCTGCTCGTCCCCCCTTTGCATTTCGTGACACACACTGGGATCTGTGGGCGACCCCTCTGCCTCATGCCAGCCTTCCTCTGTGAAGAGGTGGTTGGCTTGGGGTGGCATTGTGGGCTGAGCTCCAGATGATGGAACTGAGACCCCCTCAGCCTGACCCAGCCCCCTGCAAGCTTGGTCTCTGGGGACCTATGAAGCACCAGCTCCTCTCCCTGAAGGCACGGGATGGTTGTTCCGAGGAGTCGCACAACCACGGAGCATGCGGTGATGGCCGGTGGCAACAGGGAGCGCCGGTGGGGGAGGGGCCTCCCCAGCCCAAAGTCACTCTCGTCTTCCTCCCACGGGCTCCACTCTCCTGTCCCGCTGCCTGAACCCAAAAGAAACAAGTACATCCGTGGGAAGACAGAATCAAGCTGGATATTTTTATATCTTCTGCACATCTCCTGCCCCAAATAGAACTGTTGGCACACTAAGGGTAGAGGGTTGCTGCAAATTCTGACTCCCACCGGGAAACAGGTCCCACAGCCTTCTGCTTGTTACCAAGTTTAACCCAAACTGCAGAGGAACACGGCACCCTCAGCTCCTGGGGTGCTCTCCCAGGCTGCTGACCCCTCACATGGCCAGCAGGGGGCAGAGACGGCTCATGGGAGACCCAAGCGGGCTCTGATGGCCTCCGGGAAAGGCGCGTGTCTGGTAGAGCTGGGTCCCCGCCCAGCTCCCTGTGAGCTTCTGCCACAGCCTCATGCCCAGGTTCCAGTGGATGGCGGGAGGCCGCTGTGCCACGTCTGGGGTGTTGGGCCTGGGCATGAGGGCAGCCTGACCTAAGCAGGTCTGACTCTTCCTTGCTTCATCTGTGAATTAAAGATTAGGAAAAAAGAAAGCCTGGCGAGTGGCTGAGTTTGCAAAGCAACAGTCACCTGTGAGATCAGCCGAGTTTCAGGGGATAAAGTAAACTTGTTCTGAGCTGCCTTGAGAAAGGTCTGGTCTCTGGTCCTGGCCCCCACCACCTAGGCACTAAAAGGAAATGCTGGAGAGCAGAGCAAGGCAATGGCTCGCGTTATGAGGCTAAGGTGACTGATTACAATGAGGTCCTATTTTAGCTCCATGAAGTAAATGCACCTCTCGTGCAAGAAGGCAAATCGTGTGTCCTGGCTGGCTGGCCTACCCTGATGGCTTCTGGGCAAGGCGAAGTGTTCAGTTCCTTGCGTGTGTGTCCTTGCTTCCCTGGGGCCTGGCCTCGCATGCCTGGCACGAATCCCAGGGGGCCTGAGGTCAGTTCTTCCTGCATCCAGAGCCAGGCTGGGTGACAGAAGAGACGGAAACATGCTTGTACCAGCTGGGGGCCACACGGGCCACTGTTCTCAAGGAAGCAAGGACACAGGCATAATGAACTGAGCCACCGAGGTGCCAGGTCCTAAAAGTTCCTGCTGGGACTGAGTCACTTGGAGAGGTTGTCAAGAGCCCTCACATGGACAAGATGGAGCAGTTGTGTAGCTTGTCAAGGGGCAGGGGAGAGAGGGTATGAGCCAGGCCCTCCGTCTGCACAGGACTGCCAGCTCCTCACCCGAGGTGGCCGGAGGGTGGCACCGTGGGGCAGGGCCAGGAGGTGGGGGCACTGGGTGCTGTTGCTCTGGCCCCTGCCCCTGTCCTTTGGGGACCTGTGACCCCAGCCTGGGTGCCAGACGGGATCCAACGTGGCAAGGAACTGGAGAGGACAGAGCCTTAATTAGCAGGGGAGGTGGCAGATGCTATGGAGCACAGGCCGTGGGCAGAGGGGCCTCCAATCGGACATACAAGAACCACCACACAGGGGAGTTGTGGGGAGAGAGGCGATCAGATGGTGGAAGGGAAGCCAGGCTCTCAACTCGGCAGTCAAAGTGCATGAATTTAAATGGAATCATGGCCGCAGCAGCTGCTCAGCATAAACCCGGATTTCCCCTCCAGAGGGCACCCTGACCCCACAGAAGAGGCTCACTCCCGGGCCCCCAAAACCCAGCCTTGCAGCTTCCAGTGGGGCTCTGAGAAGATACCAGAAGGTGCCAGTGTAAACATCCAGAGCACGCCCCAAGAAGGGCAGCAGTCACTCCACCCAGGGAGAAAGGCTGCTCGAGGTGCCGTCAGAGGTAAAGGGACGAGGTCCCGCCGTGTCTCCCAGGGAGTGTAGGAACCATCACCGAGTGTGCTGGGCTGGAGATGCTGCTGCCGAATCCAGGCCTGTGGGAGCTCCAAGGCACCGGCAGCTGCATCTGCCCCGCTACAGACGTGTCCCGCAGAGGCACGGTGAAGGCGGTGGTTTGGAGCGGAACAGATGGCCACGCGCATCCTCTCGGGGTGCTGCAGATGTCCTCCCAGACAGACCCCCCACTTGCCGGGACTGCTGCCCTGACGCAGCAGGGAGAACTGTTCACTTGGGACGGGGGTCGCTTCCACTGGGGGGGAGCCCCACGGGACAGCAGAGGCTGGCTCAGTGGGAGTGGGAGACGACACGTTTCACAAGAGACCAGTTGGCTCCAGAGCCTGGAAGGCTCTGGGGGAGCAGACTCTGTGGCCTTGGCCTCACCCTGCTCTCTCACCCTCTGAAGGCCGTGATGTGCGTGCCTCGGGAGGCCCCCGTGGGGCGTCTGTGGGTGGCACACGTGTCCTCGGCGCCGTCTGCCCCGAGCCATGGCACCCCATCCGTCAGAGCAGCTCCTGCTCGTCGTCCTCAGAGCCTGAGGGGCCCTGGCGCACCTCCTCGTACCACTTGTTGGTGAGGGTCTTCATCTGGATGCGCCCGTGGTGGAGGTCCTGGGGTGAGACACGGCCGTCAGGGGCAAGGGGAGGAGGGGCAGCTGCTGAGCCGGGGTGGGTGTCTGGGGGAGGTGGAGGTGGTGACGGCCACAGGCCATTTCCAAGTGTTCCCTGACTAGAGCTGGGACTCACTGTGGGGTGAAGGTAACAGGAGGGGTCATGCAGACATAGGAGCAGGCAGGGGGGCGTGACACTAACACGTGCCTTTGGAGTCAGACACGCTCAGCTCTGCTCTCAGCATGGCCGTGTGTAGGCTGTGCGTCCTTGGGGGTTACTTCCCCTCCCTGGGCCTCCGTCTCCCTGCTGCCAAGAGACAGCTGCATGGCTGCGTGGGTTGTGGAGAACGGGGCGCTGTCAGGAAGGGCTTTGGGCATGCTCCTAGGAGGAGTTTGTGCACTGCCAGCTACCACGCCCGCTGAGAACAGAAAATGGTGCGCACACAAGGCGGGCACCCACCCACCTAAGGCTGCATCCAGATGGAGGCTAGCAGTGCTGGAGGGACCGGGCTGGAGCCCAAGTCTGGGGCCCTGCTGAGGCCCTGACATGTCCGGAACACCTCAGCTCAGGTCCAGCAGCTGCCGGACACCCTGCATCTAACATGCACGAAAATGAAACCCTGTTCACAAGGCTATTATTCAAGCAGCACTAGACATGGCAGCCAAGGAAGAACAGCAGACACCGAGCTCCACAAGCACGCCAGCCCTGGGGTGGGAGCAGCCCGTGGACCCACGCCAGCCTCCCTGCCTCCGTCCTGCCCTTGACCACTGCAGGTCCCGAGGGAGGAAGCAGGAAGGCAAGGAACCCTGGAGAGCGTGGCCGTGCCCACCTCCTGCGTGAGCCTTCGTGTGAAGAAGGGGTTCAGGTACTTGGCGTCCAGCCACAGGAAGCCCTTGAGGTCTTGCCGGCGCACATAGTGGGCTTCGTACTCCTCCTCCGTGAGCTCCGACAGGTGTTCCGACTCCACAGTGTTGCCCTGGGGGAAGAGGCGACCGGCACCGTCAGGGGGGCATCTTCCTGGCAGTCCTCCCACCACCCAGGCTGCCAGTATCCTCAGCACTGACTCCACTTTACAGTCAGTGCAGGGTGACCCTGGCAGCAGTCAGCCTCCAGGGAGGCAGGAAGGCCTGTCAGAACACAATGGCTCCCTGGGACCCTGCCAGGGACAGCCACAGAAGAGGTCCTGGGGTGGGGCTGGGGTCTGAAGCCCTCCAGGCGACTGCCATTTAGCCAGGACTGGGAGCCACCGTCCCAGGTTACTCAGGACCAGTGTGCTGAACAAAGGGGACCTTCTGTTTCTTTGCCTGTGGCCCTGCCAGCTATGGTGGCCTCTCAGGCAGGCTTTTGCTGATCAGTGCAGGAGAGGCGACACATCCTGTGGGAACAGGACAGGGGTGAAGAAAGCCACCCCAGGTGGAGGGGAGGGCTCAGTCACAGAGCTATGTGCACCCTCTGAAGGTGGACAGGGTATGAACACAGCACTGGTGCTCTGCCAGGGGAGTCCAGTGAAGCCCCAGGACAGCGGTGCAGAGGCAGGCGAGCGAAGCGGAGGGCATTTTGAGGCAGTGGAGCGGTGGTTCTTAAACTCTGGCCCAATCACCTGAAGGCCTGTGGAGATGCAAAATACTGTGCCCACCAGGCCCACCCGCACAGCTGCTTATTTAGCAGGTCTGGGTGAGGGCCACAAATTTGCACCTCCAGTAATGCTGCAGGTCTTGGGACCCTGCTTTGAGGACCGTGGCGTCCAGTGTGGTAGTTCAGAGCACTCAACCGTGGTGTCGAGTGTGGTTGTTCACACAGACTCAGAGCCTCTGAGTCTGTGTGAACACAGCCGTGTGACTTGAATTCCCACAGTGCCTCAGCATTCTCATCTGCAAAATGGGCACAGGGAGAGCACCCGTTTCCTGCAGCTTATCAGGACAATCTGAGATAATCCAAGGAAACATTAGCACGTAAACTGCACCAAAAAACCTTCCAGAAACACAGCTGCTCCTCCTCTGAGGGACATTCTGGTTCTACCAGAGCTGTGGTTCGCAAATGTGTCCACCGGATGAGCAGTGGCCGCAGCTCCTGGCGGCTGGTTAAAAACACAATTCTTTCGGGCCCCACCCCAGACCTAAGAGATGCTGTGGTGAGGCAGAACAGCCCATGTGTCACAAGTGCCACCAATTCTGAGGTCCCATCAAAGGTCTGAGAACCCGTGCTAGGGCTCTGGTGAAAAACAAACCAGAAACTGGTAGTTGGGGGCGGGAGGAAGGGCCTCTGAGAGAGAAGTTCTGCAGAGTCCAGGCCTGAAGGTCATCTGGAAGTTTCCTGCCACAGCACTGCCTGGGCTGAGGGGTCCAGCCAGCCCTGACACGCCAACATCAGAAGTGGGCGGCCACAGGAGGACTTCTGTGCCTTTGATGATGTTAATGTCACCGACGGTCTTGAATATAGGAACTAGAGAAAGACGCATTCCCAGAAGTGTGGGTGGGACGAATGCCCAGGGCAGCCCCGCTGGTCACCCCGCTCTGCACAGACCTGAGGGTGCAGACAGGGTGAGAAGACAGTGGGGCAGTTCGGCCTGGTCCCTCCAACACCCCCGCCCTTCCCATCCTGGGGGAGGCAGGCGCCTCTCTCATGGCCCTCGAAGGCACTGCAGGCCACCCCCAGCCCCCACAGGAGGTCTGCAGGAATTTGCTGGGGAAATGACAGAATCTTGAAACCTTCCATTCCGGGTTCTGAGGGTGACTCGGCTGCTGGCAGGGCACGAGCAGGAATCTGACGCAGCCCCAGGCTCCTGTGCAGCCCACAGAGCTCCAGAGAGGGAAGCAAACATCACTAGCCCACAACCTCTGTAGCTTTCGCAGACACCCCACTTGAGGGGAGGGGCCAGCTGCAGACTCATGCCCCGCCTCCTCTTCAGGTGGGGCGGCAGGTAAACGCGTGGCATGTATGTGTGGAGGTACGGGGCCTCCTTGAAGCCTGCCTCCCCTGTCCTGACAGTGAGTGGGACCCACCCACCCCGCCCCGCACAGCGGCACTAACCATCTTCTCTGTCTTGCTGAGGTTGACGTCCTTCCTGCTCCTACGGCGTGCCCTGGCATCCTCGATGTCCACTAGGCGGATGAGGGGCATGGTGCTGCCGCCCAGCAGCAGGATGGTGAAGAGCACAATGACAATGGTGGTGGTGCCGATGAGCTGCCGCTTCTCCATGGGCTCCAGGTCCAGGTGCAGGCTCAGGGCGTAGGGGATGGCCCCCCGCAGGCCTGGGGGCAGAGGCAGGGTGAGAGAACCTTGGGGACAGAGGTGGAGGGAGGGCGGCTTCATGGGCTCTCTGGGATGGGCTGACCCCCAATATGGCCAGCTGGCCACTCCGACAGGCCTCACTGGAGAGTGGGCGCACGCTCTGGGAGGCTCTAGGGGCAAAAAGCGCAGGCTGCCGAGACATGGGGCCCGGGGGACTCACTCCACGCCCACCCGAGCAGATTGACTGAGGCACCCGTCCTGGCTACCAACCATCAGGTGCGTGTGCACGAGGATCTGGCAGGCCCGACACGCATGGTTTAGAATCCACGTGACAGCCACCGTGGGCTGCACCCACCCTGTGTGCCAGGCCCTTCACTAAGCACGCTAGCACCACTGGGCCTTTGTGGAAGCCTGGCAGAGTCAGTGCTGCTACCCTTTCCGACACAGACGGGGAGCCCAGGCCAAGGGCGCAGGCATTCTCCAGGGGCCACATGGCCACACAGGCAGTGGCGCAGGAGGACTCTGCCCAGAGCCCCTTGCATGTCAAGATGCTGTCCTTGTGTTGCCCCTGCTGGCACTGACTGCTCTGCACTGCTCTGGTGGTGACAGGCCACCGGGGCATGATTGGGAAGCAGTACTTTCCTCTGTCAGAAACTTCCTGGTTCCCTGATGCCATGTGAGGGGACAGGCAGTCCTGGCCCTGCCGCTAGAAGCTCCCAGAGCAGCTGGGAGGAGAGACAGCAGACAAGGACTTGTGAGACGGTGCCAGAAAGGCGGGTGCAGACAACCAGGACCCACTGCAGACAATGAAGCGGAAGCCGCACATCACGGTGGGGTCGGGTTGGTTAGGCTGCTGCAGCGCGCCAGGCCCGAGATGGGGAGACAATAGGGGAAGAGAAGGGGATGGACGCAGAGCACGGTGAGGGTGAGTGACAACGCATCCTCTCCAAACCTGTCCAAGGGGCCAAAGGATTAAGTGACTTGAATGTGCTCAGAACAGGGTGTGCACCCGCCTACCTAAGCTAGTCACACCTACATTAAAATTGAAAGGAGTACTTTCTGCGGAAGTGCTATGCAAAGAAGCAGGCTGGGTGTGGTGGCTCACGCCTGTAATCAAGCACTTTAGGAGGCTGAGGCAGGAAGATCGCTTGAGGCCAGGAGTTTGATCCCAGCCTGAGCAACAGAGCAAGACCCTTTACAAAAAAATTAGCCAGGTGTGGTGGCACACCCTGGAGTCCCATCTTCTCAGGAGGATGAGGCAGAGTATTATTTGAGCCCAGGAGGATAAGGCTGTGGTGAGTCATAACCATGCCACTGCACTCCAGCTTGGGCGACAGAGTGAGACCCTGACTCAAAAAAGCAAAACAAAACAAAGAAGCAGGTCGGGCAGGGAGGTCGGTGTCAGACAGTGGGATCCAGGGTCTCCACGGCATCCAAGGAGGAGTCTGGATTCCAGAGGAAGATCTGGGTTGGGGCACAGCTGTGGGGTCAAGGGAACTGGATGGAAGTCGAGGCCAGGATGGCTGAGCTCACTCAGTGAAAGGAAGAGCACAGGAACAGAAGCGAGGTTGGGGCCGAGTCCTGAGGCAGCCACTACTTGAGGGATCAGTGAGGGAGGAAGAGGAGGAGAAAGATGGGAGCCTGAGGAGACCCCATGGAAGAGGGGAGCAGGAGTGTGGCCCGCAGGCCAGGAGAGGAGGGTGAGGGGGTCTGCATCTATAAGGCAGGTGTGGTGGGAAGCAGACAGGCTGGGAGACAGGGCAGACCACGCCTTTTAGGCCTGGCTGCGGGAGGCTGCTGGTGACCAAACAAAGCCCAATTCAGCTCAGTGCACAGGCAGTGAAGATGCGGAGAAAGGGGGTGTGGACAGCCCACTCAGAGGGCAGCCATAGTGAGGGAGAAGCAGAGGCCACTGGCTGTGGGACAGGGATGCTGGCTGTGGTGCTGGTGCCCTTGGGAATGAGGGGAACTCTGTCAGTCTCAGGAGTGATGGATGAGCTGGTGGCAGAGGCGGGGGTGGCGGAGCCAGAAAGACGGCAGGTCTCCACGGGGGAAGGGCCCGAGAACATGTGAGCCAGCAGCCCCACTATTTAAAATGCCCTCACCTTCCCCATAAGGGTCTCACCCACACATCCTCTCTCCCAAATGGCTCACATAACTTTGCAAAACATCTGATACAACTCTCAGCTTTTCTTTAAGATTTTCAAGATCTTGGGTCAACCACTATACAGAACAGTTTGCCTCACTGGCAAAAATGATTAAGAAACAAAAGGGACCAGGCATGGTGGCTCATACCTGTAATCCCCAGCACTTTGGGAGGTGGAGGTGAGACGGTTGCCTGAGCCCAGGGGTTTGAGACCAGCCTGGGCAACATGGTGAGGCCTCGTCTCTACAATAAATCAAAAAATTACCCAGGCGTGGTAGCATGCACCTGTGGTTCCAGTTACTTGAAGGCTGAGGTGGAAGGATCACCTGAGCCCAGTAGATCGAGGCTGTGGTGGCTGTGAGTGTGCCACTGCACTCCATCCAGCCTGGGTGACACTGAGACTCCGACTCAAAAAAAAAAAGAAAATGGATTTCTCTTACCATATGTAAATGCATACAGACACACACGCACACATCCCTATATATCTTTAAACATGGCCTTTTGGAAAGAAGAGGAATCTGAGACAGTGTAGGGATATGCTGTTGGTTAGAGAGCTGATGAGGAATGTTGCTATATACCAGCCTACATGGAAAATATTTTAATTATAATATTTAAACAAGAAAGCATAAAGAGCTGTATGTATTACTCAAAAGCACATTTAAAGATGCCCATGGATCCAGTTCTTTTAGGAGGTAGTTATTATATGAAATAATTTCCATCCTTTGAAAAGTGATTAAATAGAAGCTGAAACATTCAAATTAAACTACCAAAACTTGCCGGGCTCAGTGGCTCAGCCTGTAATCCCACACCTTTGGGAGGCTGAGGTGAGTGGATTGCCTGAGCCCGCGGGTTCGAGACCCGCCTGGGCGGCGAGACCTCATCTCTACAATAAATCAAAAAATCAGCCGGGCGTGGTAGCGCATGCCTGTAATTCCGGCTACTCGGAAGTCTGAGGCAGAAGGATCGCCGGAGCCCAGCAGGTCGAGGCTGCAGTGGCTGGGAGCGGCCACTGCACTCCAGTCTGGGTGACAGAGTGAGACTCCAACTCAAAAAAAAAAACAAAAAAAAGCTACCAGAACTTTGTGATTAAGAGGAAAAGTATCCAAAATTAGCATGTAGCACACAAATGTTTCAACTTTCACCTTGTATTTATTTATTTATTTGGTCTCACTCTGTCACCCAGGCCAGAGTGCAGTGGTAGGGTAGCTCACCACAGTCTTGAAATTCTAGGCTCAAGCCATCCTTCTGCCTCCGCCTCCCAAGTTGTTAGGACTACAGGTGTATACCACCATACTCAGCTAATTAAAAAACAATTTTCTTTTGTACAGACAGAGTCTCACTATGTTGCCCAGGCTGGTCTCAAACTCCTGGCCTCAAGTGATCCTCCTGCTACGAGTCACCTTTCTTATTTTGACCCATTATTACTTCAGCTTAGAAAACCCACAGGTTAGCCAGGCTCGGTGGCTCAGCCTGTAATCCCGCACTTTGGGAGGCTGAAGTGAGTGGATTGCCTGAGCCCGCGGGTTCGAGACCCGCCTGGGCAACTTGGCGAGACCTCATCTCTACAATAAATCAAAAAATCAGCCGGGCGTGGTAGCGCATGCCTGTAATTCCGGCTACTTGGAAGGCTGAGGCAGAAGGATCGCTGGAGCCCAGCAGGTCGAGGCTGCGGTGGCCAGGAGTGGCCACTGCACTCCAGTCTGGGCGACAGAGTAAGACTCCAACTGAAAAAAAAAAAGAAAACCCATAGGTCACAGCTGGACACACCCAGCCTGACCCTGGCCTGCACTGTCCTATACAGGAAAGAGAAGGCAGAAGGAAGTGCAACCCTTGGCTCTGTCTCCAGTGGTCCCGTGATCCTAAGCATGTCCTCTGCCCTCCTCAAACCCAAACTTCCCCTGCTTCATAGCACCATGGTGAGTGGCACCCCAGGATTACAGTGGGACCCCCTAAATGGGCCCTTTTATTATTTTTGGCTTATGAGGCAGATTCGTTTTCCTTTTTTGAGTTGGAGTTTCATTCTTGTCGCCTTGTAGCTCAGGCTGGAGGAGGACAGTGGCACGCTCATGGCCACCGCAGCCTTGACCTGCTGGGCTCAGGCAATCCATCCTCCTTAGCCTTCCAAGTAGCTGGAATTACAAATGCATGCCACCATGCCTGGCTAGTTTTTGTAGAGACAAGGTCTCACCAAGTTGCTCAGGCTGGTCTTGAATCCCCAGGCTCATGCAATCCTCTCGCCTCAGCCTCCCAAAGTGCTGGGAACAGGCTGAACAACCGTGCGCGGTTGCAAATTCATTTTCAAAGGGCTCTAGCAAGTAACCATGTGTTCTCTCTGCAGTGACGTGTCCCTTTATGACAGATATTTTCCCTTCGCCTGTTTATTAAAGATTTGACTTACCACTAAACCACATGATGAACATCATCTTCGGTGTGATTTTATGATCACGGAAGAAATTCAGGAGGTAGGAAAGAGGGAAGATGTTGACCGCTCTGCCAAACAGTACAAGCACCTGGTAACAGCAACACAGTAAGTTTCAGGTGAGAAGGCCTGGCTCCTCAAGCTGCAGCTTGCTGGTGCTAATGCAGAGTGCAACATGTCCAGGGTGCACACCACATGCCTCTCAGTCCGAGAGATGGGACTGACACCAATAATGTCAGGAGGCCATGCACAGGTATCCAGAGATTAACTGAAGGGCAGCCTGATCTCAAGGGTGCCTGCCATAGGGCAGGCTGTGCCAATCATTCCCACTGGGCCAACTCTAGAGGGACAGACAAGGTGTTCCTGCCCCTCCCATGGGGCTCCTCAGGGAAAGGGGCAGACCATGAAGGGCCTAGCCACGCACAAAACGCTGCTCTCTGAGCAGGAGGAGCGAGGACAGGGTCTCCACAGAGCCATCTACGCCACCCAGCCAGTGCTTGCTGTGGCTTTTGGTTCCCACCCAGCTCCTAAGGGAATATTTGTCTTAACAAAACATAGATTTATGCAAAGCTTAAATCTCCTGAAGTGGATTCTTAGAGCAATTTGTTAGTTTTTTGCACCTTGGTGTTTCCCATAATGCATCTGAAAAGGCTGACATACACATGCACAGTACATTCTTTAGGCCTCAGATTCACTCCTTCCACAAGCATGAATTGAGAATGCTTACAGGAGTGTGCCTTGGATAGTCAAGTTTACAATAATTGCTCCAAATCATCAAACATTTCCTGCCAGAAAACATGCTAAATGTTTTAAATGCATTATCTTGCCAAATTTAAATCATTGCAAAGCTCTTATGAAGGAGTATTACTGTTTCCACTGTATAGACAAGGAAACTGAGGCACAGAGAGGTTAGTAACTGGTCCAAACTGACTGGGCAGCAAGTGATGGGTCCAAGTCTCAAACCTGGTTCAGACCCAAAGTCCATGCTCTTGGCCACTGAGCCGAGCCTCGAGGTGGCACTGTAACCCATCTGAACAGCACCACATCCCCGCCAGTCACAGGGCCAGCCGTGTCTACACGCACAGAGGAGCCTAAGTTGTCACTCCAGAGCAGCTGCTCATTTCCCTCCAACCCCTGGCTGAAATGGTCGCCTCCCTGTCTCGCCACTGAAATCCAATCTTCCACGCCTGCACTTGTGTTTCAGGTTGGACCACATGTGGCCCCTTGGACCCAGTAGCCACATTAGAGACTTTTATACTTCCTATAAAAGACTTGCTGCTGTTCTCTTGTCCTGAAACCTGAGTCTGGGGACAGGTCACAGTGACAAACAGCAACAGGCTCATGTTGCCTGAGATGTGGAAGGACCCAGACTGCAAGAAGGTCGCCTTTTTGCTTAGGGTTCCTGATCTTCTCTGTGTCTCCCATATGCCAAACAGGGAGGCCTTACCAGTTCACACATTGTAGGTGACGGTGTGAAAAAAAAAAAAGCTTGCTTTCTGATAGCTATGTTTTGTTAAGTGGACCTGGCAATGCAAGTTAATTGCAGATGAATTACGACACTTCAGCAATAGTAAGGTGTGCTTCTTAAATGCCTTAAATTAACAGAGGAGCTAAAAAAAAAAAAAGACATCAAAGAAACAACTGGAGGCCAGGCGTGGTGGCTCAAGCCTGTAATCCCAGCATTTTGGGAGGCCAAGGCAAGAGGATTGCTTGAGCCCGTGGGTTCGAGACCAGCCTGGGCAACATGGTGAGACCTCAAAAAATTAGCTAGGCGTAGTCACGCACGCCTGTGGTTCTGGCTGCTCAAAAGGCTGAGGTGGAAGTATCACCAGAGCCCAGCAGGTTGACACAGGGGTGGCCATGAGCGTGCTGCTGCACTCCAGCCTGGGCAATGGAGTGAGACTCCAACTCAAAAAAAAAAAAGAAAAGCAAAGAAATCAAGTGGGGATTAGAGGACGAGTCATCAGTAGGACCTGTGGGAGACCAGCTCATGCTACAGGAATGGAGACCTACTGAAGACCCTGGACAAGGCCCTGGGAACATGCGGCTGAACACCAGGTGTTAGAAACCACTGATGTCACTTTGATCAGATGACTGAGGGAGCTAGACCACCTTTTAAACAGTAAACATTTATTTTCCTCCACTCCATTCCCAAAAAGGATTTGATTCTGCTGCAAATGATTAAACTTATTTTTTTCCTTTGTTGAAGGCTTATTCTGCCTCCTACTGCTATCCTCAGTCCAATTATAACACTGCTTTTCAAATCTTCTTTCTTTTAAAAATTATCTTTATTTTTATTTTTTAGCAATAAAGGTCTTGCTATGTTGCCCAGGCTGGTATGCAGTGGCCTTTTACAGGCACGACCATCACACACTATAGCCTCAAACTCCTGGCCTCAAGTGATCCCCCCTCCTCAGTCCCAGTCCCAGGTAGCTGGGACTACAGGCACACCTGGCTAGTTTCCCAACTCCCCTTGATCATAAGCATCACCTGATGTAATTCCTCTGGCTGCCTCTCCAGGGAAGGTAAGGGCCTGGTCATCTTTAAATAAGTGTTCAAGGTCATGCTCATCAATAGACAAGTATGAAGAAAACCACATTAAGAAGTACATTATATATTACCCAGAAAAAGTAGAAATCATTCCCTTCTATAGCCACTGTGAACACATGCCTAAATTTTCTTTTTTCTATACATAATATTTTCAGATGGTTATGATCAATTTTTTTTTTTTTTTGAGTTGGAGCCTCACTCTGTTGCCCAGGCTGGAGTGTAGTGGCACGCTCACGGCCACTGCAGCCTCAACCTTCTAGGCTTAGGCAGTCCTTCTGCCTTCCAAGTAGCTGAAACTACAGGTGTAGGCCACCACGCCCAGATAATTTTTTGATTTATTGTAGAGACAAGGTCTCACCCAAGTTGCCCAGGCTGGTCTTGAAGCCATGGGCTCAGGCAATCCTCTCATCTCCGTCTCCCAAAGTGTTGGAATTACAGGCGTGAGTCACCATGTCCAGCTTACATATTCAATTTTGAAGTCTGCTTTTACCCTCTAACATAGAAACACACAAACTTTTATTTTTTTCAAGGAGAGCATAATATTCATGGCCATTAAAAACTTCATAACAGCTGGGCTCGGTGGCTCAGCCTGTTATCCCGTGCCTTTGGGAAGCTGAGGTGAGTGGATTGCCTGAGCCCGCGGGTTCGAGACCCGCCTGGGCAGCGAGACCTCATATCTACAATAAATCAAAAAACCAGCCGGGCGTGGTAGCGCATGCCTGTAATTCCGGCTACTCAGAAGGCTGAGGCGAAGGATCGCCAGAGCCCAGCAGGTCGAAGCTGCGGTGGCCGGGAGTGGCCACTGCACTCCAGTCTGGGCGACAGAGTGAGACTCCAACTCAAAAAAAAAAAACTTCATAACAAGCAAAGTTCCTTTTCCAGGAATATTCATTCACTTAATTCCACTCCTACCCACTTATTGTATGTTTGTGATTCGTTTTAACAAAAGAAACTTTAAACAGAAGAGTGTCTATGTAGCTGTTGACTTTGAACAGTTAACAGTTACATAAATGAATCCAGAACATGTGGTTATTGATCTACAAATAAGTAATTAAATAAAAAATAAGGAAAATACTTACTATGCACCAGATGACAAAGGAAATTTCAAACTTGTGAGGGAAACTAAAAATGGACAGGCCAAGAAATGCAAACACACATGTTTCTGAAACAAACCAAAGAATGGATTATTCAGCCCCAAGGATATTCTCCCAGTATATACTGCATTGTTAAACAAGCAAACATTCGTTAGTCAGAATTCAATATAACACTACTTATTTTCTGGAAACTCCTGCAACCAATATCCTGGTGAAACTTGTCTTTGGATTCTCATTCTTTTGTATCACTCAAGCAACATGTCCCTGCTATTTAGAAATCTCTTAATGTAATGAGTCAACTGTCAAATATTTCTGCAAATGAGCACCATCCCCTCTGGGGAAGATGATAAACACATGAATCTATCCATTTGCTGAACACTGTCATTAGCAAGGATCCCACAGCGACAAAGTGGCAAAAATGCAGAGCCAATGACTGCAGACACCACACGACAAGTGTGAAAGGGCTTTGTGTCAACTTCCTGGCCAGAGAGGACAAAGCCACATGATTAACTGAATACAGTTAATGCTGCCATGAGGTTTAGAACAGCTTATGCCCAGCGGGATTTGCAGAATGAGATCTGTCTCTAACTCTAGGCTCTATTCTGCAAGCCAAAAAGCCCAACATTTACTCTCCGTTGTACAAGCCTGTGTATTTTAAGAAAACACACCTATAAATTTCTTTTTTTTTTCCTTTCTTTTTTTTTTTTTTTGAGTTGGAGTCTCACTTGTCACCCAGACTGGAGTGCAGTGGCCGCTCCCGGCCACCGCAGCCTCGACCTGCCGGGCTCCGGTGATCCTTCCGCCTCAGCCTTCCAAGTAGCTGGAACTACAGGCACGCACTACCATGCCCGGCTCATTTTTGATTTATTGTAGAGATGAGGTCTCGCTAAGTTGCCCAGGCGGGTCTCGAACCCACGGGCTCAGGCAATCCACTCACCTCAGCCTCCCAAAGGCGGGGGATTACAGGCTGAGCCACCAAACCCGGCTACACCTATAAATTTCTAACACTAGGCTCCCTGCCTCAGCTGCGATGTCCCCAGAGTTGCCTAATAACTAGAGAGATGAAGACTATATTTTAAAATAGTTAAACACTGTAAGGCAGTGAGGCTGTTTTAAAAGATTTAAGCAATGTTTTTTCCTTCAAACATGTATCCTTTTAAAACAAGTCCACACACTGGCCAGTATACTCACCCTTTTCTTCTTTGAAATTTTTTCTTATCTATTAAATATTTTTGTGATTTTTCCAAATGAGCACATTTAGAACACATTCAGATCTATTTTATGCTTTTCCCTGGCAGCATACATTCTAGTATATGGATACATCACGGCTAACTTAGCCAATCCTCTGCAGGTGGACGTTTAGGCTGTTTCTATTTCTGAAAGCTACAACAAACAGCCCCGTACACAGGCTGAATTCCAGATGGTTGAATCACTGGGTCAAAGAGTTATGTGCCTTTTAAATTTAGACTCTTCAGAAAAGATGGAATCAATGTCCCATCCACAAGGTCTATTTTCCATATACCCATGTCAGAAGTATTTGCCAGTGTGATGGGTATGAAGTAGAAGTGATGGAAGTTTTCCTTTGCGTTCCTTTACTTAGAAGCACCAGGGCCAGAGCCCACAGCCCTGGTTTTCCTAGAGGGATGCGGAGGGAGAAACACCCACAGGCCCAGGAGCAGAGACCTGGCCTCCGATCGCCGCTTGGCCATGAGACCACAGGCAGGTCATACAGCCACTCCTCGTGTGAGTCTCTTTACCGGTGCAAGTTCCCGTATGGCTGCCCCGCCCCCTAGCACAGACCAGTGTGGAACCAGGGCTTCAACAAAATGAGACAAGCCCCCCAAACACTACGGGCGAGGTTGATGATGACAGCTATGGCACAGCCATTTGAGGGCCAGCTTAAAGGGACAATGTGAGAGTGGTTCCTTCACTTCCAGGTATAAAGTCTGAGTGTGGGTGAACAAGTTCGGGAAATGCTACACCTATGTACCCCTCTTAGAAACTGATAATGCACAGTAGCTGAAAAGTCTGGCAGTTAACAAACTTATTACATTTCTACTTGATGCAGGATTTCCTAAACTCTTACTTGACTACAGAGGCTTTTCCATCTAACCATCGCTAAGATCATTTCCAAGGAATAATAATTTTTGGAAATGCTACTTTAATATAAAAAAGGCATGTCTCAAATGTTCATAATTATTAGTTCTATTTTTGATCTTAAAATTGTATGCATTGGGTGTTCCATTTATTAGGTGTTTGGTTTGCTTTGCTGAATTTCCAAGCCAGAGGAATGAGCCAAAGAGAAGGAAGTGCAGCTGGCTGGGAGGAATTACTGCCCTGCTGCCAGGATAAATCACCCCCAACACAGGGTGAGCAGGAGGGGCTCTGGGCCAGGTGTGGCCACATGGGCAGGACTCACCGCACAGGAAGGCCACGGTCCGCAGGGTCTGCTGCATGAGGATCTGGGTGACCGGGGACAGGTTGTGGTGTGTGTAGTGTGACATAACGATGCCAGAGAACAGGATAGCCATGATGCCTGGAGAGAGTGAAGACAGAAAAGCACCTGCCATGATACCAGGTCAGATCACTCATGGCCTGCAAGTCCCTGGAGCCTAGAGTATTAGGGCTTTAAAAAAGGGGGAAAGAAAAGAATACTGGAGGCTTCCCAGAGGCTTTAGAGAAATACTAGGAGCCCCTTCTCTCTGGTAGCTTCATTACTAGCTAGGTTACCTCGAGCCAAGTCACTTCTCCTGTCAGCACCTTGGTTTTCTCCTGTGTACAGTGGGACTAATAATACTCATGGAACTGTTAGTAGGGTGAGTGAAAATAAGCCATGTAAAGTGGCCATCACAGTACCAGGGCTGAAAAGGGGTGAGCTGTCCGTCACCCAAGGACACAGTTGGCCCTCCACATCTGCAGATAGGGAACCCATAAGTATGGGGGCTGGCTGCATCGAACCACTTTACACAAGGAATGTGGCGTCAGAGAGCTTGGTATCTATGAGGGGTACTGGAACGGATGTCAGCTTAAAGGGACAATGTGAGAGTGGTTCCTTCACTCCCAGGTGAACTGATCTGCAGAGCAGAATAATCTGGGTATGGAGAATGGGTGGGCTTTGACTGACTTTTAAAATCCTGCTCCTTAATTCTGAGTTTCCCATGGTCACCATGTATAAGTGCTGTAATATGAAAAGAGAAATGTGCTCTTTAAAAAGGTGCGTGCCCTTTCTTTAGAGCCCTCCATTAGCATCTGCTACCTTCTTTGCTTACTTATCAGGATTTGAGTCTCAACATTGTCCACTGGCCCTAAGTCACTCCTGAGGAACCCGATGCAGGCTTCTTCTCAGGATATCCCGATCTGGGTAGCAGAAAGGAGTTGCTGCGGCATGTAAGGATGCTGAGACTTTCTTTTTTTCTTTTCTTTTTTGAGTCAGAGTCTCACTCTGTCGCCCAGGCTGGAGTGCAGTGGCACCATCCCAGTTCACTGCAGCCTCAATCTCCTGGGCTTAGATGATCCTCCCACCTCAGCCTCTTGAGTAGCTGGGACTACTGGCGCATGCTGCCATGCCTGGCTAATTTTTTTATTTTCTGTAGAGATGCGGGCCTGCTATGTTGTCTAGGCTGGTCTTGAACTCCTGGGCTTAGGCAATCCTCCCCTGCTTTGGCCTCCCAAAGTGCTAGCATTACAGGTGTGAACCACTGCACCTTTTTTCCTAAAACATTTGATTATAGCAGGAAGTTCAGATTTTTAAAAAAGCCATCAAATAAAACTGCCAAAATATACTAATTACAAGTCAAACTTTACAAGCCAAGTTTTAATGCACTTCTGCCATTTTGTAGAAACACGGCTTAACTGGCTAACTTCCCATTTGTAAAAGGGCAACAATTACAGCACCAAACGGCAGACATGCCAACCGCCAAGCTCACTGTCCACACAGTGCCCTAGACATATCGGAAGGTACTTTTGTATTGTCCAATGGCTGTGGGTGGGCTGAACGACAGCAGGCAGGACATCTGGTCCCCAACTCTCTTAAGAAATAGCCTGTGCCTTTGCCCTGCTGTTTCTCTCTACAGAGGTGGCCAGGCAGGCAGAGTCCCACAACACTTCCCACTTCCCACAACACCTGACAAGATGTGAAGGTGAGCAAGCGGGCAGGAGACTCTGCTTGCCACTAGGGCACAGGGAAAACTCATGCCCACGAGTCCTGCTCCACAAGATAGCAGGCACGTGCAAGCCCAGAAGCACCAGCTCTTCTCTAAGGCCAGGCTCCTCTCAGTATGTCCCCGCAGGGGACCAACAGGACACCTGATCCTTCTGGATCCTGCAACACAACACAGCCACTGATGCCACCAAGGGCAGCACCACACAAAGAGGGCCACGAAACCACAATCTGGACTGGAACTGGAACTCAGCGCAGCTGTCAGCCTGGGGAGGGGGCACAACGACACATCAGTGTGAGGCTGGATCGGCCTTGAGGCTCTCTCCCACCAGCTGCTTCAGAGAGGCTATCAACTCACGGGCAGAGCTGAGACCGTGGTTCTTACTTTGATGTAAAAGTCAACCCAGGCCTGGCATGATGGCTTACGCCTGTCATCCCAGCACTTCGGGAGGTGGAGGTAAGAGAACTTCCTGAGCCCAGGGTTTCGAGACCAGCCTGGGTAACTTGGCAAGACCTCATCTCTATAATAAATAAAAAAATTAGCTAGGCGTGGTGGTACATGCCTGTAATCTCAGCACTTTTGGAAGCCAAGGCAAAAGGATTGCCTGAGCCCAACAGGTCGAGGCTGTGGTGGCTGTGATCATACCACTGCACTCCAGCCTGGGCACAAGATTGAAACTCTGACTCAAAAAAAAAAAAAAAAAATCCACACTCCAGAAGCAAAGTCTCCATGCAGTCAGACCCGACAATGGACTGTGGAAGTTCCCTGGGGACAGAACTCCTGGAAAGCCATGCTGCCTCAGTGGGAGGTCCGTGGAGAAGGACATATAGCCTGTCCACAAAGGCTGATGGCAGCTCTGTGGGATGGAGACCTCGGGCTGACCAATCTTTCTCCTGTTTTGTTTAGAGATACCGGAAATCTGTTTCTTTTGGGAAATCTTAAACCTTTAATGATGGCTACTAATTCGAATGGTTAGCACTTTTCTATATAGATAAATAAACTCTGTCTGGGGCTAAGTCTGGACCACAGTTGCCACCTGTGCCTTTGACCCACTGATGCTGGAAACAGGCCACCTGTAGAAGCCACAAGCACTTACCCTCGCTAGTATGGGATCAGGCCTCTGCAGTTCTGGGCTACAGAACTGCAGATAGAGTCAGGATCAGCAGTGGGTGTAAAAGCCTGAGGGACAGCTCAAGTATCTGTCCTATCTGTCCCGCCAAGCACAGGTGATCTCCGCCACCCAGGCCACCCTTATCCACTGACCCAGAGCAGGCTCCCTTAAGGAAGAATTTCCTTTAAGAAGGCAAAATCACTTAAGACAGCAGATAATGCTGCATAAATGTGCAGGAAGGAAGAAAAAGGGAAGGAAGGGCAGAAATCCACTTCTGTGTATGATTAAATCCACTGTTTTGATGTACCAGAAGAAGAAAGTAAGGGATTCAAGTAAAAAAAAAAAATCAGTGAAAGTCAGGTGTGTGGCTCATACCTGTAATCCCAACATTCTGGGAGGCCAAGGAGAGAGGATCATTTGAGACCAGCCTGGTCAACACAGTAAGACTTCATCTCTACAAATAAATAAATATTTTATAAAAGGCAGTGAAGACCAGGAGCGATGGCTCAGCCTGTTACCCCAGCACTTTGGGAGGACAACATGAGAGGACTGCCTGAGCCTGGGGGTTCGAGACCAGCCTAGGCAACATGATGAGACCTTGTCTCTACAATAAATCACAAAAATTAGTGGTGTGCATCTGTAGTTCCAGCTACTTGGACGGCTGAGGCGGAAGGATCGCCTAAGCCCAGCAGGTCGGAGGCTGCAGTGGCTGTGAGCATGCGCTCCATTCCAGCCTGGGTGACAAGAGTGAGACTCCAACTCAGCAAAAAAAAAAAGGCAGTGAAAATGATCATGATACAATTTTCACTGTCTTGTACCTTACTGTGGGTAAAATATGACGTACTTCTTGAAGGCTGAGTCAAACCACACATACCGAGTCTTCTTTGTTAATTACTCAATAATAAACATATTTTGCTATGAGACATTCAGACTCATCAAGGCACACAGTAAGAGAATCCCCATTCACCCCCCATTCTCTGTCCAGAGGTGATTACTATTAACACTTTATTATGCAGACTGCCAGTTAATATTTTATCAGGTGACTTTAAAATGTGTCCATATTTTAAAAAGTAGTAAACAATCATATCACATATACAGTGTGTATAACTAGCTGAGTGATTCTTTTCAAGGCCTCAAGTCTCTTGCCTTTGGACGTATAACAGAATCCCAGCTCCTTCCCAGGCCTGCAGAGCCCTTGCCTGCCCTGTCCCGGCCGCTTTCTGTAAAACACTGGCACAAAGTTGGCCAAAGGTGCGATGTACAGTCGTAAAGCACAGGTGCATATCTAAGGAAGTTCACTGAGCACTGCTTATGAGAGAAACACTGGAAGGAGCTAAATGTTCATCAGTCATGGGGGAGACCAAGTCCCAGCCATTCTCCCTATGGAATACTGTGCAGCCACTGAAAACAGAATCTGACCTATTTGCACTGTCGTGGAAGGAACTCCAAGATATATTGTTACATTTTAAGAAAGCAAGCTGAAAAACCATCTGTTCATCCACTCAGTTAATAGGTATTAAGTGCCTCCCCTATCTGAGAACTATCCTTGCTGTTAGTTAGGGCTACAGCAGCATACAAGACAAGATCAGGTCCCGCCTGCGGAAGACAACATGTACAACACACGCGGCAGCTTTGGGTAGAGAGAAACAACTAGAAGAAATGAGAGCTGGGTGAGAGGGTGGCAGGAGCAGAGGCAGCACCAGGAGCTTAGCTGGCCAGAGAGGTCTCCCCAGGACGTGGCACTGGAGCCACCCTGGGAAGACCTGGGGAGGGAAGGGTCTGGGGAAGGAGGAACCTGGCAGTGGGACAGCAGGTGCCAAGGTTTGAGCCAGTGAGGGGAGCATGCCGTGCTCTAGGAGATCCAAGATTCTGAGACCAGCTACACTTGCTGAGGAAAAATGAGGGCGTCTGTTCAATCTTCTGTTGAAACCAGGACAGTGTTGAGAATGCAAGGGGATATTATTAATTCATCATGTGGAGACAGCAGGGAAGCTGGGCTCTTGGGGCAAACCAGGACCTGGTCATCCAGGCAATAACATGACGCCCATCAGGACCTCACTTGTGTCACTGCCTCGTGCTCTCAGCATGTGCCCTGGACTGGCCCCTCTATCAAGCCTTATTCAGGATGAGAAAGTGGAGGCTCAGCCTGGCTAAATCTAGTCAGAGGTTACACAAGCAATGAGGAGGAGCTAGGATTCGAACCCAGGTCTGCCGGTCACACCACCCAGGTCTTACCCTCTGTGTTCTAACATGTGGATTCAGGTC